AAATTATCATATAGAAGTTAGAAATTCAAATATTGTGACCAAATTAATTTTGTAGGGGGCCACAAATTGGTAAAAATTTCCAAAGGGTGCTGTGACTAAAGAAAGGTTGGGAAACAACAGGCCGCCAAAACCAACACTAATGAAAAATCATTTTTAGTGATTTTAAAGTTGTCATGGCATCAAAATTGTACATTTGGATAGAACTTTAGACAGAAAATGGCAGTAGGCATTTTCTCACACTAAAAGCTTGTCAACACACATATTGTTTATATCTTGTGGCTCTAAATAGTTAGCATTTTAATGTTTACAAAATGTTCCCATTCACTTCAACTGTAAGTTCCTCACTGTCACACAGTCAAAATATTGTTTTTGTAGTAATCAATATTAAGCCACAAATGCTGCCACAAAAGCGTAACTTATTCCTTTAGATTTTGGTCTGTTTCTCACCCAAAGTTTGGTTTTGGTTCCGAATGGACTGATTCTTTGACCAAATAAAAGATGCAGTTCAAAACCTTTTTTTGCAAGTCCACTTGATGCCAAAAAGATATACAGTACTTCACCTTTAAAGGGTTAGTTCATCCAAAAATGAAAATTGGATTATTGATCACATGGTCACATGGATTATTTTACAGATCTCCTTGCTACGTTTCTGGACTTGGGAACATTTCAGATTCCATCAAAAATATCTTAATTTGTGTTCCGAAGATGAACGAAGGTCTTACGGGTTTGAAACGACATGAGGGTGAGTAATTAATGACAGAATTTTCATTTTTGGGTGAACTATCCCTTTAAGTGACCATAGTGTCTTTTGGTGGACATCTACAGGTCAGATATCATGGGTGTCTGCTTCAGCTTTCTTTTGCTCCCTGATCTATTCAGACCAGACTGACCCTTTTTTTTTTTCTTATCACATGACCCACCGCTGCCCTCTGTAGATAAAGTCCATTACAAATCATACAGTCGAGGCTAATCCATAATACTAGTGTAATAACGAATACATTTCCTCAGGAGAGACTGATAAATTCTCATCACACTGCCAAAGCAAGAACTTCCCCCCTTTATCTTCTCATAGTCCAGCCTGACCTGGAAATTATCATTCCATTCTTATCAGACTAATGAATATTTTAGTGCATTATTAAAGAGCCGTATTGAATTCATTGTTGGGGGTCTCGGCTAAACTCTCGCCCTCTTCCCAATTCACCCTCCTCAGCAAAAGCTTTTTATGCAAATGCTAATTGGAGAAACTTTGCTAGTCAGCACAATCTAAAAACAGTCCCACCGCACACACAAACACTGCATTTCCTTGCTATTCTTTTTCAATCTGTTCAGTAGCTTATTCTGAATTCACATAGACTGCAGTTGATTGCTTGTGAATTATTTAAAAGTGCAATGAGTATGTGTAGATAGAAAAGAGAGATGAATAGAGAGAGAAATCATATTGAAATACTAGTCATGTTCATACAAGACTGCACCTATCAGATGTATGCATGTACACTTTCAGAAAACGCAACTATATTTGAGTATGTTCTACAGTTACTGTGCCAATGACATATGAGAGTCTGTGAAAGCGAAAAATCTAGTTTAAAACACTATTATTCATGTTGCAAAATTAAAAATTAATGTTGATTTCATAGTTTTGAAAACACTTATACAATTTCAAAAAATAAAAAAGACTTTAAAAAATGTGGTGTAGTCAAGGAAAAATGATGCTGAACATGATTGTGAAGCAATTATTTTTTCCTCATTATGTTGTTTCCTAATTGTTTCCCTCATTCCCACAAAAAAAGGTAAAAATGATTTAATAAAGTGATTAAAATCATGCTCATTACAGAATTAGTGTAGTCAAGTATTGCATTTTTTATGTATATTTGAATTAATTACTTGATTTGGTCCCACTTTACAGTATATTTGTGTAAGGGTTATAGACCTGTCTGTGTGTGTTTTTGCTCCCTGTGACCCAGTTTCTGTCTCCCGTTGATTGTGTTAATTTGATTCCAGGTGTGTCTAGTTCTTCCCCCAATTATCCTGTATTTAAAAGCCCTAGTCCTTTCAGACAGTGTTTTTTGGTTCTGAACGGCCTTCCATGTGTTCCTGTGTCTCCTACGGTCCCCTTGTGATTGGATTATTAAAAGACTGTGATATTGAAGAACTCCTCGTTTCCTCGTTCCTTGCTCCCCTAGTGAATTGTGACAATTAGGTGGCCTTAACTACAATGTACTTACATCAAAAAATAAGTACAATGTACTTATTGTGTTCATATTGTCTTGCAAAATACTTTTGCTGCTATTGAGGGGGGATACAGGTAAGGTTAGGGACAGGTTTGGTGGTATGGGTAGGTTTAAGGTGTAAGGGATGTGTAATTATAACTGTAATTACAGAAATTATATGCAATTACATGCAGGTATTTTTTTTTAATATAAGTACAATGTAAAATTTTTATTGCTGCTATTGAGGGGGGATACAGGTAAGGTTAGGGACAGGTTTGGTGGTATGGGTAGGTTTAAGGTGTAAGGGATGTGTAATTATAACTGTAATTACAGAAATTATATGCAATTACATGCAGGTATTTTTTTTTAATATAAGTACAATGTAAAAGTATGTATGTACAAAATAAGTGTCACACCCCTGTGGACTGTTGATTGTGGTTTCTCCCTCTGTGTACTTATTTGGTTGTTCATGTTCTCGTTATTAGTTAATCACCTCATTGTGGTCACCTGTCTGCCCCTCGTTAGCTGCCTTATATCTGTTCCTGCCTCCACACACCATGACCGTGACAGAATAACCGACCACTAAGTAAAGTATAGCGGCGTCTTTCCCCTCGTTTGTTTTTCCGATTTTTGTCAGTTTTTATTTTCATGTTATGGATTACCCCGCCTTCCAAATCCTCCTGCTGGCGCAGGTGGAACGCTCTCTTGAGGACCACATGGATGACTTTCTGTCCCTGTCTCACCTCACCCACTACCCGGACAACTGCCTCTGTTCATTCTATCAAGTTGGACTTAATGCCACCACACGAGTGCAGTTGTCCAAGGATGGTCCTCGAGAGAGCCTCGCCGCCTTCATCAAGTGGGTGCTGGTGTCCTGCAAGTCCCATCTAACCGTGGACATTGCTGACAACAACACCAGCCCCACTCAGGACCTTGAGCCTAGCCCACCCTCTCCCCGCAGTATGGAGCATAAGCCTGAGCCCACCGATGATGGAGAGCCATTTCCCGCTGCGATCCACGAGCCAGAGGGAAACCACGCGGCTGAGAAGAGGATCGCCTCGGATATTGAGCCCAACACGTCAGACCAGGTGCGAGAACCGGTGACAGTGCCCACCACGAGGGAGCATGCCGTGGACGGTGTGAGCGCGGAGAGGAGCTCTGCCCCCTGCATCATGGCTTAGGGTGAGCTGACTATGGCGGGACATAAGGGCCAGCATATGGTGGGAATTCAATACCAAAACGAGGAGGAGAGACCTCGGAATCCTCAGTTTAGCCCAGGAAGGGCTCTCGATCCCCTGTCGAGCCTCGGAATGGCTCTCGATCCCCTGTCGAGCCTAGGAATGGCTCCCGATCCCCAGTCGAGCCCACGAAAGGCTCCCGATCCCCAGTCGAGCCCAGGAAGGACTCCCGATCCCCAGTTCAGCCCAGGAAGGGCTCCTGATTCCTCGTTTAGCTCAGGAAGGGCTCCTGATCCCCAGTTCAGCCCAGGAAGGGCTCCTGATCCCCAGTTCAGCCCAGGAAGGGATCCTGATGTTTCGTTTATCCCAGGAAGGGCTCCTGATCCCCAGTTCCGCCCAGGAAGGGCTCCAGCCCCCGAACCCAGCTCAAAGCGCCCTCCAGTGCCTGCTCCTAGAAAGCGCCCTCCAGTGCCTGCTCCTAGAAAGCGCCCTCCAGTGGCTGCTCCTCGAAAATGCCTACCCTCCCACCCGCTCCAGCCTCCTCCAGCGCTGTCGTCTGGCAGCCCCTTTGCTCGCCCTAAGCCCACCATCATTGCGGTGTGAGCCCCGCGGGACTGCCATCCTCCAGCATTGCCGGGGTTGAAGTCTCCCTCACCTCTGCCTCCAGCCTCTGAGGCCCGGACTCCACCTCGGCCCATAGACCCAGTGGCTCCACCTCGTCTCCTAGCTCCCTCGCCTCCACCGTCACCCATCGATCCATCAGCTCCACCGGGCTCCCTCGTCCCTCCGGCTCCGCCTTGGTCGGGTGTCGACCCGCCATCGCCTCTGGACTCCACTCCTCTGGCTGCACCTCATCGCTCTGTCCCACCGGCTCCGTTGGGCTCTTTCCTCCTGCCAGTTCCACCTTGGTCCTCAGTCACTCCGGCTCCACCGAGGATCTCCGCCTCCGCCTCGGTCGCCAGAGCCCTCGGCTCCACCCTGGCCCCCCGGATCCTCGGCATCCCCTTGGCTCGTTGGCTCTCCGCCTCGGGCTCCTCCGCTATTATGGCTGTGGCCTGAGTCCCACCTGACTCCTCCTCCTGCTCCGGTTCCCTCTTGTCGTCTCCCTGGCTCCTCCCTCCATCGTCACCTCCCTGGACTCTGTCTGCTAGCCTCCTCCCAGATATCCGTCCTCTGCCGGAGCCTCCACATGTCATGTCTGCCTGCCAGCCCTTTGCCTTCCCCTGTCACCATCCCACATCCACTCCTTTGTCCTCCTCATAAGACCCCCTCCGTCCCTCCCTCTGTCTCCACAGCGCGAGGTCGCGCCTTCCGGGAGGGGGGCGATCTGTCACACCCCTGTGGACTGTTGATTGTGGTTTCTCCCTCTGTGTCCTTATTTGGTTGTTCCTGTTCTCGTTATTAGTTAATCACCTCATTGTGCTCACCTGTCTGCCCCTCGTTATCTGCCCTATATCAGTTCCTGTCTCTTGTATTCAAGTTTGTCGGTTATTGTGAATGTTACCCCGAGTGTGTGTGTGTCTCTCCTTCCTGAATCTGCCTTGTTGTGTCTACATTAAAAGTCGTTGGAATCCTTGTCGTCCTCGCCGTCCTGCCTGCCTTCACACACCATGACCATGACAATAAGTGCATTGTATCAAATAATTAATTTAAATGTAAGTACATATTAGTTAAGGCCACCTAATATAAAGTGGGACCCTAGACCCCCCCCCTTTTTTCAAGTAACTGTTGGGTGGTTTGAGGTTTATTCAACACTGGTGCAGAAAAGGCAATAATGGTGTGCTTAGCGAGTCAGAAAGTGATAAGCAAACATTTACATTAATTTGCAGTTTAGTGAGATACACAACAAGAAGACACATATTTCAGGGTTGTGAAAGAAAAGGAAAAGTGGGAAGGAAAGACAATGAGCTTGAGATTGTGTATGTGTGCAGAGAAGCCGAAAAAAGGGCAGGTTGTTTATCAGCCTGATGCCATGAAAATGACAAAATATGCTGTAAATTTAGCCATCATAAACACAAGCAGGAAATGGCCCAAGTGATAAAGACGGGCCACAGCGAGACGACGTACTCCTCCGAGACCCGACCCATTGACCGCACTGCATCAGAAACACACCTTCAGCCATGGCAATTAGCAACAGGCTGGCAGGAGTGGGTTCAGCTCATAAAATATATATTTATGTGAGTATGGCTAAGCCTTTTTCATTAGTCTCCACTAAACAATTCATTTTGACAGACTTACGAGTCGGGTCTTAATTCACTCCTTCACTACCGTCTGATTAACAGAGCACTCAGTGGAAATTACTACTCCTCCAACCCCCTTGGCAGCTGATTTAAACCCCGTAGACTACTGTTTTTAAACAGTGTCACATCATTAATTTTTTACACTCTTACATTGATTTGTTTAGTGAGCAACACAAAGTTCATTGTGTTTTAAAATGGGATAAAAAATCTCAGTGTCTCAGCATCAAAGGAGCTCATGAATAAACACAGCTTTCGGGCAATGATACCATGAATCCATTTGCATACCTAGTCTCAGGAAATGTTACCATTTGCAAAGTTAAGATTAAACCAACAAAACAAAGCACAAATTGCGAATGTGATATTGTTTTTATACAATAGAAGTTTATGTTGTTAAGTAACTTGAGTTACAAACTATACTGTTCATGATTAATGGTCAAATATTTTGAAAGAGTCATATCTCTATTTTCGACACACATTATATATATTTATAAAAAAGATAAGATAACATAAATCATTATAAATAATCTAGAATCGAGGAACTCAAACTGGTAAACTACAAGAGGCCAAAAATTAAACTGAGGGTTGACAGTCATGTCAGTGCTTCTGATTATATATTTTGTGTATTACATTGTAAAAATATAAGTGAATTTGTTTTAAAAATTAATAAAAGAAAATAAAAGAAAATAAAATTAGTACTGTCAAACGATTAATCGCGATTAATCGCATCCAAAATAAATTCTATGAATATAAATATATACATGTAAATACATGTAAATATTTTCGAAATATATACCGTATGTATGTGTCTTTATCTATACATAATAAATATACACAGTGCACACACATATATTCTGTAAACAAAAACTTTTATTTTGGATGCAATTAATCCCGATTAATCGTTTGACAGTACTAATTATATTTTATTTTATTTTATTCATTTTTAAAACAAATTCACTTATATTTTTTACAATGTAATACAAAAAAGATATAATCAAAAGCACTGACATGACATGACATGAATCTAATATTGTAATATTAAAACTGCAGAAATAAATGATGATGT